GCTTGTTTCTAAATTGAATTCTACATTTGAGGCCTTGAAAACCCCTTTTAGCATCACCTCGATTTGCGTGCGCACTCCAGGTGCGTAGCCGGAAAGCCTAAATGTGAAAATCTATGGAAAATGATAAATTTTGACTATAAAATGAATTCATTTGACTTTGGTCAATGTTTTGGGTAAACGGACCCGGACCCATGATTTGACGGTCCCGGAGGGTCCGTAGGAAAATATAGGACTTGGGCGTATGCTCGAAATCAAATTTTGATGTCCCAAGCCTGAGAAATGAATTTTTGAAGAAAATTATTTTCTGAAATTGTTTATAAAGTTTGGAAATGAATTTTGATTAGAACATATTGGTATCGGGCCCATATTTTGGTTCCGGCGCCTCGTACATGTCTTATATATCATTTAAGATGATTTTGTGAAGTTTGGTAAGAAACGGAATCCGTTTGACGTGATTCGGACCTTAAATGCAAAATTTGATGTTTAAGAAGTTTTGATAAATTTCATTGATATTGAGGTTTAATTCGATGTTTCTGATGTTATTTTGGTGATATGAGTACACAAATAAGTCCGTGGAATGTTTTTGAGGTTGTGTGTATATTTTATTTGGATCCCCGAGGGCTCGGATGACTTTTGGATAGGCCACGGGGTGCATTTGGAACTTAGAAAAAATTGCAGAATTTTAGCTGGTGTGCCCAGGCCTGGCTTGCAAATGCGAGCTCGCAAATGCGAAAGCTGGATCGCAAATGCGAAACCAGCCCAGGCCTGCCTTGGCTCACAAATGCGAGAATTTCTTCGCAAATGCGAAGATTTGCCAATGGGCCAGTGATCGCAAAGGCGACCTATGTATCGCAAATGCGAAGTCGCAAATGCGACACTATTTTCGCAAATGCGAAAGTTCAGCATTTCTGAAGGGTTCGTAAATGCGAACCCTGTTTCGCAATTCCCAAGTTAGAAGAGGTCGGGGTTCGCAATTCCTATATCTGCGACCTGCAACTTTCATACTTAGCCGATTTTAAACCCATTTTTCATATACTCTCAAAACATAAACATATTAGGGCGATTTTTCAAAGGCTTCTTCTTCTCCAAATCAATTGTAAGTCATTTTTAACTCATTTCCTTCAATCATTAACATGATTTCAATTTAAAATCAATGATTTTCATGGGGAAAATTGGGTGTTTTAGGTAGAACCTAGGTTTTTCAAAAATTGGGGATTTGGACTTCGATTTGAGGTCTGATTTCAAAACAAATTATATATTTGGATTCGTGGGGGAATGAGTAATCAGGTTTTGGTTTGAACCTCGGGTTTTGACCATGTGGGCCCGGGGGCAATTTTTTACTTTTTGGATAAAACTTTGGAAACTCATTTTTATACATTCAAATTGATTCATTTGGCATTTATTGATGTAATTAAGTAACTTGTGACTAGATACGAGCGAATTGGTGGTGGAATCAAGGGGTAAAGCTATAATTGAATCGTGAATTGTGTTCGTGGCATCGAGATAAGAGTCTAACCTTAGCTTGAGGGATTAGGAGTTGTGTCATATTTGCTATTTGCTTCTTGTTGAGTACGACGTATAGGCATGGTAACGAGTATCTATACGTTGATATCAAGCATGATCGTGGGTCTTATATTGTGATTTTTATGACTTTGTTGTATTATTCATGCCTTGGTGAAGATTTCTATTTGTTGTGTAAAATTGTGGAAAGCATTGTGACATATGAACATTGAGGAGCATTGGCTCAAGTTGTATAACGAATTGTGAAGTAAAAGTTAGAAAAAGAAGAGATCATTATGTTGCCCCCTTGCCGGTCTATTGTTGAGTTGTGGTTCCCTTGCATTGTGTTCTTAATTGATATTACGGATGTTTAGGTTGATGATTCTTTGCGTTAGGTGTTGTAACAAGCTTAGTTATAGCTAAGGTAGTTAGGTGTTGTAACAAATTTGGTTATAGCTGAGGTAGTTAGACGTTGTAACGAGTTTGGTTATAGTTGAGGTAGTTAGGTGTTGTAATAAGTTTGGTTATAGCTGAGGTAGTTAGGTGTTGTACAAATTTGGTTATAGTTGAGGTAGTTAGATGTTGTAACAAGATTTGTTATAGCTGTTTCTCCCTTGCCAGGATATTTTTTGTTGATATTATTGTTCCCTTGCCGGGATTCTTTGTGATTATTGTTGGCTTGTAAATGGGAGCGGGTGATACGCCTACCATAAGATATAATAAAATGGGAGCGGGTGGTACGCGTACCACAAGATATAATGAAATGGGAACGGGTGGTACGCCTACCACGAGATAAATAAAATGGGAGCGGGTGGTATGCCTACCACAAGATATAATAAAATGGGAGTGGGCGATACGCCTACCACAAGATATAACTAAATGAGAGCGGGTGGTACGCCTACCACGAGATAAATAAAATGGGAGCGGGTGGTACACCTACCAGGAGGTAAATGAAATGGGAACGGGTGACATGTCTGCCACGTGATATAATGAAATGGGAGTGGGTGGCATGACTGCCATGAGATATAATGAAATGGGAGCGGGTGACATGCCTGCCACAAGATACAGGAAATGGGATAGGGTTGCACGCCTGCAACAAGATGTGAAAAGAAAGTGAAATCTGCTTTTGTTTTCCCTATTCTTGTTAGTGGTTGGATTTTGATTCCTTTATAGTTCTCTTGATATTATGTTTTTACCTGTTTTTCCCCAAAGCATGTTTTCCCCTCCCATCTTTACTTATTTATTTCCATATTTCTTTTCCACTATATATATATTTGAAATGCACAAGTTTATTTGGTGGTTTGGTCCTAGCCTCGTCATTACTTTGCCGAGGTTAGGCTAGGCACTTACTAGTACATGGGGTCGGTTGTGCTAATACTATACTCTGCACTCTTTTACGCAGACCCCAGTGTTGTAGACTTCGGACCGCAGTGAGATTTCTGACTCTTATTCACCAGGCGACCCGAGGTATCCCTACAGGAGTTCGTAGGCCTTGGCGTCTCCTTCTATCTACTTTCATGTTTCTTACATGTATTTTCTAGAGACAGTGTTGTATTTAATTCTTTTAGACCTTTATTTGTAGTATTCTTAGACCGTCTGTGAAACTGTGATACCAGTCCTGGGTAGTCGAGACTCAAACAGTTGTAATAGATATTCATGTTCAGCTGGCTTACTGTTTTCTTCCGCTTATGTTATATTCCGTTATTTAAATGCTATTTCTTCAAAACTGTTAAAGAGAATAAAATTTGTAAAAAGGTAGATGGTTGAATAATTGGATTCCTAGCTCACATTAGTAGGTGTCATCACGACTCCCGAGGGTGAGAAATTTAGGTCGTGACAAATATAGGGAATGATCATATCAACCCAACTTTGAGAGTCAAAATGGCATTTATCACAACATAAGTTTGTGTATTTCGTCCTTACACAATATAAAGAGATGCCATAGTATGTCTAGTGATACTAGTCATGCATGTCCCGTGCAAGACTAATAGGGTTCAGTGGCTCCATTAACTTCTGTTCTTCATTCCTTTTTTATATTTTTTTCTCCTCATAAGTTTGTGTTTTAATTTAAGAAAATGGACAAAACCAATTAAGAAGTTTGAATATTTGGTCTAACTCAACTTTAAAAGTTAACTAATAAAGTAATAATTATCCAAGATCATATAATGAAACAACAAGACAGATGTCCTCGTCAATGCAGGGGCGGAGCTAGAATTTTAAGTTTATGGGTTTTGAACTTGACAACGAACTTATAGAGTCATAATTGTTGGGTTCTCAATTAAATATAATGTATATTTAATTTTCTAATACAAATACAATGTCTAAATAAAAGTTACTGGATTCTTCGAAACACGTAACTGATAATCTCCCTCCGCCCCTGGATCAATGTGTTTGTCTCCTTAACAATTTCAATTTCTATTATACTAGTAATGTTTTCAACAAAGAAGGTTAACCATGTGCATCATTTTCTGATATTAACGGAGCAATCTTGAATTTTTGTCCTGAGATCTTTTAATGAGAAGCCTAATCGAGACCGTTTCAATTGCCATTGTTCTGTCTTCTAATGCTGGTCCCAAAATGTACCCTTCTTTAGCATTAGGTTTTTCTGAACTATATTAGTATGTTGAAGATATAGATAAAAGTTAGAAATATATGTTCCTATCTAGTTAGTTATGGAGCAATTGATATTGATAAAGATACAAGATCTAAGCAGTCATCCTAAGAAGAGTAGAACATCTAGGCAGTCATCTGTTTGTGTGTATAGATATAGGCTTAATGTACTCACTGTGATACACTGAATACAAGCCTATTCTCTTATCCTAAATAACTAAGTTTCAACATGGTATCAGAGCATTAGTTCTCCATTGTGCAACTCTACTCCAGATCTCAAAAAAATAACAAACTTCTTTTCATCAAACCAAAAACCAACCCCAGCAACCATGCTCTCAAATGCCTCACTTTACTGCGTCATTGCCTCATGCCCATTCAAGTTGAAGCCACCAACCTATTTGATTTGGCGCACCCAAATGTTGCTATTGATTCAAGCCATGAAACTAACTAGTTTCATCAAAGAAGGCAAAGCAGAGTCAAGCACTGTTGTGACTGTGGGTCGAGGATCAACCATTGTAAAATTATAGAAGTGTTGAATGCTTGGGAGGAAAAGGATTTTTTACTGCGAAGTTGAATCTCAGGTACAATGACAGAAGAAAGTATATACCTGATTGAGGAATTCTATCTTCAGGAAACAAAAGATAAGGAATTTCAACTCAAACAACAGTTGCAGAGCATCAAACTTGGTTCTAGAACAACTGATGAATATTTGAAGGAGTTCAAGGACATCTATGATTGTTTATCATCCATACACAAGCATGCGGATGAGGACAACAAAATAATTAACTTTACTAGAGGATTAAGTCCTAAATATAAAACTTTTAGGATTGTGATGTTAGGCAAAGCTCCCAGTTTGAATCAATTTGTAAATGCTATAAGATGATTTGATATGAGGGAAGATGAAGAAGATAATCACCAAACAAAGTACAACATGGCTTTTCAAGTGCAAAGAGCAAATGAAAATAGAGGCCGTGGAGGTTTCTCACAGAAAAGAGGAAATCAAAATTTTTCATCCAGGGGAAGAGGTTATAGACCTGCTGGTCAAGACAATTCTCAAGGAAATCAGGCTGCTCAGAATAAAAACCAACAGAAAATAAAGGAGACTGCAGCTTGTCAGATATGTGGAAGGAATAATCATACGTCCCTTAAGTGTTTCTACATGTGGGATTCCTCCTATTAGGCAACAGAAGACCTTCCTCAAGCCTTGCCACAATGAACCTGCAAAATGAGAAACATAAGGATGAGAACATGTATATTGACTCAGGTGCAACAACTCACATGACAAACTTCACATGTAATCTGTCTAAATTCAAAACTTATAAAGGAAAGGACAGAATTGTAGTAGGAAATGGCTCAGAACTTTGTATAACACATGTTAGAAGTACAAAAATGTCTAGATTAAAAATAAATTAAATACTTGCAGTACTTGAACTTAAGAAGAATCTTATCTCGGTTAGTAAGCTAACAAAGGACAATGCCTGCATAATTGAGTTTTCTGATTTTGTTGTAAAGGACAAGAAAACAAGGATGATGCTGGCCAAAGGATCTAAGAAGAATGAATTGTATGCATTAGAGGATAAAAATTTGCAGGCTTTGACAACAATACAAAGTTGGAAGGATTCATATAGTATCTGGCACACAAGACTTGGACATCCAAACCTTAGATCAACGAAAGTTTTAAATAGCTATAAGTGCATTAATGTTAGTAGTTGGAATAAGAATCCTACTGTTTGTGTAAGTTGTCCACTAGAAAAAAGCTGTAAATTGTCATTTGATCCAAAAAATTAGATTGAGAAAGAACCTTTATTGAAAATTCATTGTGACTTTTGGGGTCCTGCTCCTGTTGAATCATCCCAACATATGAAGTAGTATATTATTTTTGTTGATGATAATACCAGGGATACCTGGATTTATCCAGTCACATGATGGGTGACAAGAATCTATTCAAAGAAGTTATAAAAATAAATGCAGGAAGTGTCAAATTTGGTGATGATTCAAAAAAATTAGTTGGCACCGACACAGTTCCATTTAGGAACAATTGTGATATTACAGAAGTATACCTTGTAGAAGGATTCAATTATAATCTCTAGAGTATAAGTCAGCTATGTGATTCAGGGTACGAAGTCAAATTCAAGAAAACATGATGTGCCATTGAAGTTGAGTCAAGGAAAACCATATTTCCTAAAAAAAAGGTATATAAATGTTTATATTCTTGATGGCATTGAAAATCTGGATAGTCATATCTGTTTAGCATCCATATCTGATGAACCATAGTTGTAGCATAAAAACTTGGTCATGTAAGCATGCATCTAATTGAGAAACTCTCCAAGCATGATTTAGTTATTGACCTTCCCAAACTCATTTTTTCTAGAAATCATGCATATAATGCATGTCAGATTGGTAAACAAACTAGAAACTCTTTCAAAACCAATGACATTATTTCTACGACCAAGCCTTTATAATTTCTTCATACGGACTTATTTGGACATACTAGAACTACCAGCATTGGAAGTAAACAATATGTTTTTGTTGTTGTTGATGATTACTCACGTTTTACATGGGTGATTTTCTTATCTCATAAAGATGAAGCTTTGAAATTTTTTGACATTTTCTGTAAAAGAATTGGAGAAAAGGGGTATCTCAACACAACCATCCAAAATGACCATGGAGGAGAATTCGAAAGCAGAGACTTTGAAGAATTTTGCAATGATCAAGGATATACTCACAATTTCTCAGCTCCAAGATCACCCCAACAGAATGGAGTAGTTTTGCAGAAAAATCGAACCCGACAAGATATGACCAGAACGATAATATTAGAACATTCATTGACAAATAGCTTTTGGGTAGAAGCAGTAAGCACAACTTGTCACATTCTCAACAGATGTCTTATAAGATCCATCTTGAAGAAAACTCAATATGAATTATGGAAAGGCAAACCACCCAATATAGGCTACTTTCATCCGTTTGGCAGTAAGTGCTTCATCCACAATAATGGTAATGACAACCTTGAAAATTTTGATCCAAGGAGTGATGAATGTATTTTTCTTGGTTACTCTGTTAATAGTAGTTTAAAGTATATAACAAACTCAATTTATCTGTAGAAGAATTAGTGCATATTATATTTGATGAAAACAACACTACAACTAAGAAAGAAATCATTGCAGGTGATGAAGATATTAGCCAAGAAGCATTGCAGGCAAGCAAGTCACAAAAGTCGACTAATAGCACAGATGCAGTCATAAAGTCGACTAGTGAACCTACTAGTAGTCAACCTGAACCACAAAAGGAGTCAACTACTCCTACAGTTGGAACGCGTCCAAATAAGTAGAGAAACGAACCAGAATATCCTCAAAGGTTTATCATAGGGGATCCTAATGAAGGATGAAAACTAGGGGAGCTCTTAAGAAAAGGGAAAATATAGCACTTATCTCTTAAATGGAACCAAAGAAAGTTGAGGAAGCCAAAAAATACTTCAGCAGGGTACAAGACATGTGGATGAACTCGATCAATTAGATAAGAATCAAGTCTGGGAACTGTTACCTAAGCCAGCAAATGCTACCATTGTTGGAACCAAATGGATTTTCAGAAACAAGTTGAACGAAGATGGAAAAGTAGTCCGAAACAAAGCCATCTGATTTCTTCTCCTTAAGTTGATGGATTTTGTACCAAAGATTTGTTTACTAGGTTTCTCATCTATGTCAAATGTGTTGAAATTACGGCACCACAAGGTCCCTTTTTATTTCCTTACATTTTTACTACTGGCTTTTATGATTGGTAGGGTTTTCCTTGAAGCAATTTCCTTTGGTGAAAAGGATTGAAACTAAGACGAAAATGAATAGGGAGAATAATTAAGTACAAAGCTAAATTATCCCATTTTCAAACTAAGGTGGAGGATTGGTTTGAAAAGTGCTTCTGGTTTGAGGAAAGCCATAGATAGTGGGTAGACTGTGGAGGAAAGGTGGGGGTAGGAATGGGGATGGTGCCATTTCAACAAGTTAGACCAAATATTATTTATATAAATGAATTAGTCCAAAAGGGAATAATTCAATGAGTTTAAAACTTAAGTTTTATATATATATATATATATATATATATATATTGCCAATGCAAAAAAATCTTTTACACGATCATATCATAATCCTTAGCCTTACCTGTTGTAGCAGGTAATTGTCTTATCATCAAGGTTACAAATTTCATATTTTAAGAAAGCTTACCTCTAAATACTTTTTAGATGATCTGATGATATGAATAAAAAAAATTATACTGATAGTGTATATTATTACTTAAATTAACTTGCATGCAATATAAGATACATGAAAAGGAGTTAAGTATGTATCTAGGTCAAGGAAAATGGAAGGGGACTGGGATGGATTAAGATTAATGATATATCTCAACAAAAAAGTTTGTTGTGTCTTCACGAAACTTTTTCAAGATATGATGATTTTCTTTAGATTTCACTTTTAGGTCTCGGAGAAAGAAAGGCGAGAATTCAATAAAAAGAAAATATAATGAAAGAATCCATATACAGTGTCAAGGTTCTACAAATATATACCTCAAAAAAGGAAGATTCTGTCCCCAATGAAACGATTCTACCTCAGTAAAGTTAACTCTTAGGCTAGTACATGTGGGCCACGTTAAAGATATAAAGACGTAGACAGTTCATGAGAAGCAATAAGGGAAAATCGGAAAATATATCATTTGTCTAAATCCTTTGTAGTTTGTGTTTAACAAAAAATCTGAGTCTTTGGTCAAAGCTAAAAAGAAATTCGGGTTACTGATAATCAGGAGACGAAAATAAAATATTTTTGAGAATGATGGTAAAGCTGTAAATAGTTTTGTATTTCAGTAAGATCTCAATAGTATTTCGTGTTTCTACAGATGTTGAGTCCTTCTCCTTTTATAGTTGATTCTAGGAGAAGATGTAATGCCTTTGTCTTAATGAGGCAATTATGAGCAATAAATGACATTAAAAGAAAGTTACACAATCATTTCTATTTAATTCAAATATTCTAACGTATTTGATATTTAATGTTGTATTTAGACTCTTTTACGTCATCAGATTCGTATCTTCAACTTCTTCCGATCTTCGGTCTTTAAATGACTCGAATAGGTACGAGACTCGTACCTATTTTAGTAACGGTCCACACCTATGTTGCTTTCTTTTTCCCTTATCTGTTGTCGCCCGTGCCTCTTGGCTATTTATTGTGTTTTGACCATTTGACCAGTCCACGTGTCATGCCACGTCACCTACAATGTAAATTCAGTTTTTTTCCAATACAGATAGTCCCCCCACTTTCCATTTATTTATCAATTAAATAATTGGGAAGTGGATCTTCATAAAAAGGGAATTTTTGCCGTAATTAATATTATGACAAATCCTGACACTTCAATTGTCTCTTCCATTTAATGCCTTACATACGTGTCACCTTCTGATTGGTTCTGCAATTCTACACCCTTTTTTCGAGACTTCTTCATTCACACTATTCACGAAATGATAGTTGCCTTTATTATAGGCTTTCCATCATTGCACTTCTAAGTTTGACGGTTGTCATTATAAGCATTTTTAACCCTCTTTCGTTTACCTTCTTCTTCATAGATCTTCAACAAGCAATTTCTTACTTACTTGTATTTTCTCTCCCCTTTAGTACATCCTTCTTCAACAATGTCATCTCCAAACCCTAACCCTAGAAAAGTTCCAATTCTCGATCACTTCCCCAATGCCCCCGTAAGACATAGGAGAGGCAGAGGAGGTAGGCTTCGGAGCTTGGGCCTAGGGTCCGCTCGTGGTGGTTTATCTGGTCCTGCTTCTTCTTCTCCTAGTATCGGGAGTTCTATTCCGAAGACCCCTTCTTCTAAAGGTAAAGAAATCCTTGATTCTTCTCAAGAACCTTTAGTCGATGAAATTGTTCCCAGTGATTTGTCTTTTGGGAGTGATAGAACGTCTCTTCAAAAGCAAATTGTAAATTTAGAAAAAGCTGACACTTATCCTTCATTAGTGACCGAGCTTACAATTCCTACCATCAGAAGGGATTGTAACTGGAGCAATAGTCTTCGAATGTCAATTCCTTCCCCAAATCAAAGAATTTCTTCCTTTAGAAGTGGTTACTCTTTTGTTTATACTTACCCCTTTACTTTGGGTTTTAATCCTCCGGTTGACCCAGTCATTATTGACTTTTGCCGTTTCTTTAAAATCTGTTTGGCCCAAGTCGGTCCCCTAGTGTGGAGAGCAGTGGCTTGTCTGAGATACTTATCTGCCAAAGCCAATGTCAACTTCACCCTTTCTCACCTTATTCATTTATACCATCCCAATTTAATGCGCCATGGGGTTTTTACCTTAACTGCAAGAAGCAAAAAGGTTTTGGTAAGCCCTGAAGATGACAGAGATCGTGGATGGTATACCCGTTATGTTGTTGTACGTACGGTGGACTTGCTTGGTGAAACAAATATTCCCTTCCCTGAGAAGTGGAATTTTGCACGTAAGTTTCCTTTTTATTTACCGCACCTATTTTTGAGAATTCCGATTCTTTTTCTAACTTCGTCTCTTTTTGTTTTTTTGTAGCAACCATGGGAGATGTGGAACTTATTCCTGACTTCCGTGGTTGGGTAGATTCAATTTTGAAGATTGCTCCTAAGGATCAAAGAACTTGGAAATCAATTTCTTCTTTACATGGCTGGAAGGTGAAAACACATGGTATGTCCCTTTTTACACGTTTTTTTCTTTTTACATGTTAAGCACCTTTTTCTCAATGTTGATTATGTATCCTTCTTTTACTTAGGATTTGATGTTAGAGGAATGGCAGCTGATGTAGCTATGGCCATTCGCATGTCTGCTAATGCTGCACTTGATTTGAACAAGGCTCGAGCTTCGCTTCCCAAAAGGAAAGCTATAGGAGAAAGTTCTGAGAATGAGGAAGAGGAAGATACCTCTTTAATTGTCATGCCAAGAGTTAGGAGACGAGTCATTAATCGTGATGAAATTGAAGATACCCCTGCTCAAACCTCATCCACCGAGCCTGTTTTGATTCATTCTGACGAGGACACCGTGCCAAGAGATACTAATGAATCAACTCAGCGTCTTTTTGATAGTGGTTTTGAGAGTGGCGAGCTCGGCCCTGTTTTTGATGAAGCTCCTCTATCCTCATTCGTTCCTATTTCCTCCATTCCTTTGCCAACCGACAGTATTTCTTTACCAGCTTTGAGGGCTTCCATTCCTTTGCCAGTTTTAACTGCACCTGCTTCCGTTCCTGTGTTGGTTTCTACATCTTCTCCTTCTATCCCTACTTTGACTCCTATGAATCCTGCTGCAGTGTTTACCTTTTCTACTACTCCTCTTTCCATTGCTCCTCCTCCCTTTGTTCAACATACAGAGGCGGGTTCTAGCAGTGGAACCATGGCTATGAGAAGTGTTACTCTTGAAGTTCCTGCCAACCATAGCCTTTTGAGAAAGACTGGTAGAGCTGATGTTTGGCTCGAGCCTCTTATCGGAGATATTGAGAAGAAGAAGATGGAGAGCCACAGCTGCCTGACTCTGATGAATGACATAGTTCATTCTACTTTGAAGGTATTTTTCCTTTACCAACAAGTTTTTTTTTAAATCTACAAATCCTCATTTTTATGAGTTGTCTCTGTAGGCTAACCTCATTGGTACAGAATTGATGGGAAGAATTTCCCTTCTGGAAAGAAAAACCCGTGAGTTTGAAAAATTTATCCATGAGGCCGAGGAAATAGCCAGGGGAGCCCAACTTGAAGCAGCTAATTGGAAAGAACAGTTTGAGAATGCTCAGGGGACCATAGAGGAGTTGCAAGAAAGTAGAAATCTTCTGGAGCAGCAAAAGCGTGGTTTGACTTCTGAACTAGCAACTGCCAAGGCTTCTTCAAGCCAATTTAAAAGAGATAAAGAGATTTTGGAGTGCTCATTGTCATAACAATTATCAAAGGCTAGTGAAGAAAT